AAACTGGGGGGAAATGCTGCAAAGAACAGCAGCAGAATGGCATTAATTGGATTTGTGATTTAAGGGGCAAAAGTGGAGCACTACAGAGCAACTTCAGCAGGTTCTGTTTTATTTCTTCTTGCGTTCGAAGACTGTTGGATAACTGATCAGTTGTGTTCAGGGCATCACCGGTTATGTCGGAAAATGCATTTAAGCCTACTTTTATGCATGCTTGACCTTCTATGCAGCCAATTGAAAAATATAAGTACATTCCGACAGCTTGCAGACGATGCTCTCTTAATTCTTGTTCCACTTGTGCAGCACAGAGACGGTCATACACAGCATTACATCATTGGATGCACCTATAGGAAGTATTATGACATTACAGAAAGGCATTGCATGCAGATTTTGGTTTTTTAAATCACTGGCTATTTTAAAAACATGCTTTTGGCATTCCTTTAAAAGTCAGTAAGTTCTTCCTTTAAAACTCAATGAGTGCCTGCTATTTATTCTGCTGCAGTCAAAGCATTGCTTCACATCTAAAAGAAAACCATCACCTTCTACTTTTTGTATGGACAGACTACCATTCAAAAGTGTGAGGTTGAAAAGATGTGTCATGCAAGTACAGTAACGACATCTTTTTGCCTTTTTGTTTTCTCTGCACTCTAATGTGATTAATTAATTTTCAGCTACTCTTCATGTAGAAAGAGTGTGATCATGTTACCCAGTTCTGCATTTATAACACTAAAACCCATATCAACCTTTATCAGATGGTCAGTACAAGCTCATATCAGCCCTGTAGTTCTGATCAGTTCAGTTGTGACTAAATAAATACCTCAACAGATTGCTTGTGCTGTTTAATGCAAGTGAATGTGTTTTCCCAAAGGTTTACAGTCACAATGCTGTTTTTTACATTTTTAAAAAACGGTTTTCTGCTCACCAAGGCTGCATTTATTTGATCAAAAATACAGTAAAAACAGCAATACTGTAAAATATAAATACCGTTTAAAATAACTGTTTTAGGTCATTTCTTTCCTGTGATGGCAAAGCTGAATTTTCAGCAGTCTTCAGGGTCACGTGATCCTTCAGAAATCATTTTATGATTTTTTTTTTTTAATGCTGAAAACAGTTGTGTTGCTTAATATTTTTGTGGAAATTGTGATACTCATTTTCTTCTGGATTCTCATATGAATAGAACCTTAAAAATAGCAATTAATTTGAAATAGAACATTACACATTTATTTACTTCCATGCAGCCACATTTGATGCATTGAACGTGCACTTGCTCAATGCAAATATTAATTTCTCAAAAATCTAGTAGTTGCACACATTACTTGCACACATGCAACAATTTAACATCAATCAACAGAAAACAGAGTGTTTCTTCCACCACGAGTCCTTCTGGCCCCGAGACATTCCAGAAACTAAAATCTCACTACTTAATATTATCCAACATATTCAGATGAAACATCACAATCATTTCCAACATATTTGTTCACACATCTGACTCTTCTTTTGTCAAGCCTATAAGCTTACGTTTTACAGTATGAATATGTTCATACTTCTTGTATAATTTGATTAACTGATGCAAAATAAAATATATCCTGTTCATGGTGACCTTCAGCTTGATTTTTCTCTTTTCTTAACACATGCCTTATTGTATAACACGCTCTGTCTCCTTAGAAACCACAATAACTTTAAAAGATAAATTGTGAGTTGTGGTGGATACGACACAAGAGTGTCAAATTTGTGCCTTCATGGATATATTGAATTATTGTCTTACAGTTATTACATTCTTAGTTTAGATGATTACAACTGTGACCGATTTTCTTATATTAGTTGAAATGAAATGTATACGTAGTGGCACAGCAAAAAAATTGCTGTCAGTTACACAAGCTGTAAAAATCAAGTCCTAGTACACCCCATTATGATTAATTATTATCAAAAAGGTTTATTACAAAACAACAACACTCTATGAACATTTAAACAGTCTTTGAGTGGTCCTGCATAGATGTGGAGTTTGTTTCCAGAGATCACGCTTAAAAATCAAAACCAAAATACGATACTTTAACATGCAAGTTAAATGTCATTTCTACTGTACTTCTGCCAAGAGCATCACCTTTGCTTGTCTAGGGGATCTCTGAAGCGGGCTTCAGCATGCATTCGCTGAATATGTTAAGGATTTAGATGCAGGTGCCTCAAAAAAAACATTTGAAAGCCGCAGCAGAGCAGACCTGATCTGACCTTAAAAATTCATGAGTTATTGTCCACGGAGCCCTACTCGAATAAGCAGAGCCGCTCGCAGGACAGGAATACTGAACAGGAAAGCTGTTAGTCATTCAAAAACTCACACAACTCCATATAAATGACTGAAGGCGCTTCGACAAAACACACACACATGCAGAAACCCAAACGCTGCATGCACAATTCCTCAAAACTAGATGAGAAAAGCTTTATGGATATTTCAATGTCTGGGTATAAACGCGTGTTTGTAAGATGCTACAACCAAAGCATTTAAGACGTAGATGTTTGTGCATCAGATAGAAGCTCATGGATGGCGAGGATTACATAGGATTGGTTCAATGCAAAATGAATGCTTTTCATTAATTACTCAATGTAAGTGTTCAAAAGAAGCGCTTGCAGTACATTTGGGTCTGTTCTTCACACATCATTTGATGTGGAATATAGTGCATGAATCATATCAGCTGACACTATTTGTACTTTTTTTCTTAGCACTTTCTCTCCTTTTGTTGAAAAAAAACGACCATGAGTAAATAACGACCCAATTTTCATTTTCGACTGAACTATTCCTTTTTATTAACATCTGTCTGAATTCCCATTGTAACCTACAACAGTTAAAATGTTCATTCTAGCTATCAACTCTATAACCACATTCTTAAACATTACCTTTAAAATGTTTGGGATCAGTATGTTTTTTTAAAAGAAATTAATATTTTTATTTAACAATGATGCATTAAATTGATTACATCGTTTTCTTTATTCTTGAATACTGTTTTTTGGAACTTTCTATTCATCAAAGAATCCAGAAAAAAAATAACAGCCACAGTTTCCACAAAAATATTGTGCAGCACAACTGTTTTCAGCATTGATAATAATCAGAAATGTTTCTTGAGCAGCAAATCAGCATATTAGAATGATTTCTGAAGATCATGTGACACTGAAGACTGCAGTAATGATGCTGAAAATACAGCTGCGCATCACAGAAATACATTACATTGCAAAACATATATTAAAATAGAAAATATTTTAGAATATTGTTTTTACTGTATTTCTGATCAAATAAATGCAGCCTTAATGAGCATAAGAGACTTCTTACAACAGCAAACAAACAAAACCTTACCGACCCCAAACCTTTGAAAGGTAATGTACGGTCATATTACATACATACAGTATGTAATGTATAGTCATATTTTTTAAACATGTTTTTTTTCCTCAAATCAAACCTGCCTTACACCTAACTCTATTCTAAACTCTATCCATATAAATGCATGTAACCATCTATAACCACCATGAATGTATAGAAATTGTGCACGTCATTTCTTAATGCCAGAGCCTGCAGTGTTCATGTAAAAAAAAAAGAAAGAAGTCTTATCCGGAGGGATATTTCTGCGTTGTCTTTGTGTGCAGGCTAGACTAGACTAGTTACTAGACTAGTTTGCAGAAGGTTTCTTACTGAAAGTCTGACAAAATGGCACTCACTCAATATTTGCTCAAAGAAAATTGCACCTTACAGCTGTTGGAGAAACATGTGCATTATCCACATGATAAACTGCGACGCACAGCTCTGATGGCAACATTCATCAATAATAAACCTCCCACCAGGGCTGCGAGAAAAGACGCGTTCAATTTCACAGCGCGAGTCGCTTGACATCTAACGGTGATAATTTCACATGCCATTTCCAACCTAAAAAGTGCCAAAGCAATTAGTATTGTGCATTTAAACACAGAGAGCATCATGTACTTCAGTCTGTCTGTACACAAGAGTTTTGTGTGTATTCGGATTGCATTAGTAGATATTATACAGGACTAAATTCTAGAATTCCAGTTTAGCACTTAAAGCCAATTTTCCTCAAACCATCAAGTTAGCCCTTTCGTCTGACAGCTTTCTTCAGAGCAGCATTGGACCTGTTCAGAAGACTAATTAAATGAGCTTCATCTCAGTACAGCAGCAGCAGCAGGACTGTCCTTCAGTAACGGGAACACACACAATTTAAAGGTCCCATATTGTCAAAACTGAAATTTCCTTTCACGATAATTTTTCACGATAACTGAGGTCTAGGGGCTATTTAACTACCATACAAGTTTCAAAACAGTCAGTCCACAGTCAAATGCACACAGCCTGCATAAAGTAGCTGTGACATCAAAACCTAAAATAAAACTCCAGAAAGGTGTACAATATATGACCTTTAAGACTAAGCAAGAGATCTTCCTCGCTTAAGAATCACTATTCAAGGTATTTAAAGGAATAGTTCCCCCCACAAAAAAAACCCTCAGGCCATGATGTAGATGAGTTTGTTTCTTCATTTTTGTGTGAACTAGTCCTTTAAAAGGAAGAGTTCAGCACAAAATAAAACATATGTTTACTCACCTACACTCTTAAAGATAAAGGTGCTTCACGATGCCATAGAAGAACCTGTTCTTCAGATTATAAAAAGGTCAGAAAGAGATGGTTCTTTAAATAGTCAAAATTATCAATTTTTCTTTTATGCCAAAAATCATTAGGATATTAAGTAAAGATCATGCTCCATGAAGATATTTAGTAAATCTCCTACAGTAAATATATCAAAACTTAATGTTTGATTAGTAATACGCATGGCTAAGAACTTCATTTGGACAACTTTAAAGATGATTTTCTCAATATTTAGATTTTTTTGCACCCTCAGATTCCAGATTTTCAAATATTGTCTTATCATAACAAACCATACATCAATGGAAAGCTTATTTATTCAGCTTCAGATGATGTATAAATCTCTCCAGGGTCACGTATGGTTCTTCTGTGGCATCGCTGTGAAGCACCTTTATTTTTTTAAGAGTGCAATTTGACGGTGAGTAAATGAACAGAAGAATCCTTTAATCTGCAGCCTGGAAATATGCATGGACGGAAATAAATTACATCATTCACAGCTCAACAGGTCAATAAAATCTCTTTGTGCTTTTCCTCAGACAGTACAGTAATTCAAATCAGTAACAATACACATAATAGTTATGAATTGTTTTCCCCTTTTCTACAAACAACCCCCCCATCAGCATATGCCAAGTCCTTGCAATGCATGACCTAAAGCACAAAATGCAAGAAAAATAAATAAGATACATTCTTTTACAGACAGGAGTGTTGCTTCAGTAAGGTCACATCTGTGGAAGCTCAGTGTGTAATTTCTCCCTCGTTATCTTTTCCCCTTTACGTTATTTTGTTCAGTCTCTACTTTCTAGCGTCTCTTAATCGACAAGCCACGGCCGTGATGAGGGCGGCACCTTTTCCGCTGCCATCTTCTGATTGGACAAGAGTAACCTCACAGTCGGGGGCCAGGTCTCTTAAGGTTTCCCGCATGATGCTGGCAAAGCTGATGAGACAAAGAGGAGAGCAGGCATGGATGAACAACAGGACTATGTGAGCCTGGAGCACAAAAGCAGTGTTAAGTCGCTGGGGTATATTTGTAGCAATAGCCAACAATACATTGTATGGGTCAAAATTATACATTTTTCTTTTATGCCAAAAATCATTAGGATATTAAGTAAAGATCATGTTCCATGAAGATATTTTGTAAATGTCCTACTGTAAATATATCAAAACTTAATTTTTGATTAGTAATATGCATTGCTAAGAACTTCATTTGAACAACTTTAAAGATGATTTTCTCAATATTTAGATTTTTTTGCACCCTCAGATTCCAGATTTTCAAATATTGTCCTATCCTAACAAACCATACTTCAATGGAGAGCTTATTTATTCAGCTTTCAGATGATGTATAAATCTCAATTTCAAAAAATTGACCCTTATGACTGGTTTTGTGCTCCAGGGTCACATTTATGGCGTGTTTCCCACCAAACATGGCACATTAATAAATCTACACTTTTCAAAACTCTCTATCAGTGTCACTTTAGTATTATTTATGTACTATTAGATCATTTATTAATATTTTACATTTGCTTTAAGTGTTATATTTTCAGTTTTCATTTTAGTTTCAGTTTTTGACCTTTGCTTTATGTGCTTTAATGTGCTTTTTAAGCACATTTGAATTTTTCTTTGTTTTTTTGTTTAATTTCTCATTTCAGCTTTATTTCAATTTTAAAAAATTCAGCTTTAGTTTTAGGTAATAATAACAAGACAGAACTCAATCAAATAGCCTGACGAGTGGTTTTTTTCTTCTTCATGTTGATTTATTTCCTATTGAAAAAGACAGAATATACCAAACAGCTTGTCCCCTTTTTAACAGTCAATAGTCTTTAATCTGTTATTTTTTCGACACACTAAAAGCAAGTGTGAATAAAGCTGAAACGACTTTTGCTAAAGTGAAAATCGAAACTCATCTCAAACTCACTTTAATCTACAGCCTAAATGAGAACAGAAGTGCTTTTTTTTTTCAAAGCGGGTCGCTGAAGGAAAAAAGTCCCACTATGAGCCTTTGCATGGTAAATATTCAGTACTGTTTTCTCAGCATAAAACGGCGTCTGTCATTTTTGATTCATAAAAGCACTCTTTTCAGAAGTGAGTCTCAGTAAGGTTGGCAGGGGCTTTTGAAAACAATGTTTAAAGCACAACATGTTCCTCCAGAGAGCTTTAGGCTGATTTTTTAGGCTCGTTTGATTGAAAGCTTGACAGTATACATTCACTGACACTTTAATCAAATTGTAAGATAAACTGAAAAAATTAAAATAAATAAAGTTGCACAAGGAAGTCTATCAATCAGTCTTAACAACACTGTATATGGAAAAACGCTATTGCACCTAAATGAAGTATCAGAGTCCAAAATAAACGCTGGCTTTGGTTAGTCATCCTTAAAAAAACATGTAATTTCGCTTCATCTGGCAGTTTTTTCGGAGTAAGTAACACTTTCAACTTTTCAAAACTTCGGGGTTTTGTAAGATCTGTTTAAATGTTTCTGAAAGAAGTCTCTTATGCTCACGAAGGCTGAATTTATTTTATAAACAAACAGTGAAAAACAGTAATACTGTGAAAAAATATTACGATTTAAAACAGCTGTTTTCTATGTGAATATCTGTTAAACTGTAATGTATTTCTGTGATGCGCAGCTGTATTTACAGCATCATTACTCCAGTCTTCAGTGTCACATGATCTTCAGAAATCATAATAATATGCTGATCTGCTGCTGAAAAAATACCAATTACATAAATGGAAACAGGAATTTTTTTCAGGATTTCAAAAAGTTCAAAAGAACAGCATTTATTTAAAAAAAGAAATCTTCTGTAACCTTATAAAATGTCTTTAAAGTCACTTTTAACCAATTTAACGTGTCCTTGCTAAATGAAAGTATTCATTTTCTTTAGAAAAAGAATGTACTGACCCCTAACCTCTGAACAGTAGTTTGACTTTTTTCCATTAAAACGAAAATTGGAGTTTGTAGAAAACATCTAAATTGAAGCTATAATTGTGCACTAGTATTTTATCTTTAATTGCAAGCTGTGAATATTTCAATTCAAGACATTTCACACAAATTTTCAGGATTAAAAATTCAATAACCCATATTCACCCTCCAGAGTTCAATTCAACACTACTTCAGCACAATTAAAGTGCATTAAGTACAAAATTAGTCGTTCCAATTGAGCAGACTTTAAGTATACTAGTTTAATATACCAAAAGTACAATTGCAGGGTATTTTTATTAAGCACTTAAATATGTAAATACGTCATGCTCCCGGAGCTGCTTCTGTGTACAACAGTGAGCGCAAGCTACATTAAAGTGATTATTATGTTTTGAATATGGATATTTTTCGTACAAAAACGCATTGATTCGCTACAGAAGGCCTTTGTTCACCCCCCGGAGCCGTGTGACACTTTTTTTTTTATGGCTGGGCACTTTTTATTTAACTTGTTTTGGACTGAAGCATGCAACACCCGCTGAGTGCCATTAAACAGCTTGAAAAATCAAAGACAATTTTTAATATAACTCCGACTGGATTCGTCTGAAAGAAGAAAGTCATATACACCTAGGATGACTTGAGGGTGACTTTAATCTGATGGAAGACGGCAGAAGCACATGTCTGAATCCAAATACATCACAAAAAGAATTGTGTTATGCTTTGCGTGATAAAAACAATAGAAAATGAATATTAAAAAACACTTTGTGGTAAGCAAACCAGTGTGAATTTGGGATGAATCGACTTCATGCATCCTCACCAAATCACCAAATCAAGACACCAGTTGCCTAAAACTACTGTAAATGCAAAAATGTCTCGAAAAAATTGAAGTTGGCTCAAAATGCCTAATTTGTATTCCATTTCCTTTTTATATTTTATTGGCTAATGTCGGGGTTCCCAAACTTCTTTGTCAGCTGTACCCCTTAGATGTAAAATATTTACTTGAAGTATCCCCTGAAGTTAATATTTCATTAATAATAATTTCAATAACATCACATTTCTGTGATCATACAGTAGTTATAGTTCATGATGTTGGTTAATGGTCACATCACATGCAAATAAAAAGATAAAATACTAAATCTTTTTTTTGTAAGTGCCTTATTTTGATTTCATTTTTAAATGATTTATATAAAAGGCTTATTATTATTATTATCATCATCATTACTACTACTACTACTACTACAACTACTATTATTACATTATTATATTTGTTATTTATTATTAATTATGTATTATTATTGTTGAAACTCTAATTATAAAAATGAATATATAAATATATTGTTGTTGTAAATTGTCTAAAAAAGACAATTGTATGCCTAATAATTATTTTATTTTACACTGCGAGTTACAATACTGATTTTAGTCTTGAATTTTTTGCCTTCAAACGTTCAAATTCTCAAGCTTTCATTTTGTAGGAATACTTTTATATCCACAGAAACATGGAAATTGTGTAAATAAAGAAAACCAAAAATGCATGTTAAACTCACTGCACAATAGACTATATAGTTTTTTTTATTAAATTGCAATGTTTGATTGGATTACCACACTAAGCTATATTGCAAATTCACTTGTATTTCAATTAACGGTGCAGCCACATTTATTTATTTTAATGTTGCATTCAATTTAATTATTTGCTTTTCATCAACTTACAAACCCCTTTTGGGAATGCACATTTAAATTAAGACTTGGGTGTTCAAATGCATATTGAGGCAACTAGACAATCGCTAAATCTTATGCACCCTAAAAGTCATCCAGAAAAACCAGGCCGAGCAATCACACCCACCGACAATAAGCCCAACTTCACATTGAGGATCCTCGTACCCACAAGTCATCATGGTGCCCACGGTGTCATTCACCACTGCTACCACATCCAGATCAAACTCCTGTGAGGAAACAATAGCAGACAGAGAGATAGATAGAGATGCATTACCAGAAAGGCAAAGCTAATCCACCATGACTGCCTTTCAGGACAAGATTTGTCTGACTGAACATCCACTAATTGCATCTTGCCGTTAAAGGCAGAGTAATTGCATCTACAGTAACAAGTGCATGAACTGCTTTGGCAGCACTTGAGTGTGCGGCGGTGCTGACCTCACTGCGATGGATGGCGTCTTTCAGTAGTGTGGCCACATCTTCCCCCTCACACCCCGAGGCCTTGAAGCCCTTTGTCCACTTTATCAAGATTCCCTGTGAGGAAGACAGATGGGAATATAGCAGACTCAGGACAAAAACGTAGATAAATGTTTCAGTGTCTGAGAGAGGGCTTTTTTTTCAGAAAAACACCACCCAGACATTTGCTAAACATTTGCTAAACCTGACTCAGAGATTCAGTAGACGGGGCTAAACAGGCAGTGCTGTAGATTCGGTGGGCGGGGCTAAACAGACAGTGCTGTAGATTCGGTGGGCGGGGCTAAACAGGCAGCGATGTAGATTAGGTAGGCAGGGCTTAAACATTTGCTAAACCTGACTCAGAGATTCAGTAGGCGGGGCTAAACAGGCAGTGCTGTAGATTCGGTAGGCGGGGCTAAACAGACAGTGCTGTAGATTCAGTGGGCGGGGCTAAACAGACAGTGCTGTAGATTCGGTGGGCGGGGCTAAACAGGCAGCGATGTAGATTAGGTAGGCAGGGCTAAACAGGCAGTGATGTAGAATCAGTGGGTGTGGCTAAACAGGCAGTGGCTGCGTTCCACTCCAGTTTAAGACACGCACTCGCAAACTTCCCTAAGCACTTCCCCTCGGGGGAATCCCCGACACCATTTAAAAGTGCGTTCCTCTTTTGCGAGGGAAGTTTGCATGCCCAAGCATACCTGTATACATATAGAATGCTGCACCAAACAAATTCGTAAGGGGAAAAATGTAAACAATAAACTAATCAACTCTATAGCTGATTCTAAATGATCAAGGGCTTAGGACGTTCCAATTCAGCCCATTGCAAGGGTTCCACCAGTAGTGGGCACTCATGCAACGTAATCAATGACGCACATGCAAGTGAAGAGTATAAAAAAATGGACTGGAATGCAGCCAGTGATGCAGAATCAGTGGGCGGGGCTAAACAGGCAGTGATGTAGAATCAGTGGGCGGGGCTAAACAGACAGTGCTGTAGACTCGGTGGGCAGGGCTAAACAGTCAGTGATGTAGAATCAGTGGGCGGGGCTAAACAGGCAGTGATGAAGAATCAGTAGGCGGGGCTAAACAGGCAGCGATATAGAAGTGGGCATTGATCTTCTGCGGAGGCGGTGCTTATCCACACTATTACATCATAGAGTGGTACATTCCACAAGCTGTCTTTTTGGCAGATTGGCTTCAAAATAAGCTCATTTTAGACTAAGGAGAAAGTGTTGAGTTCTGAAACTTATAGGATGTTTTTAATAGCACAATGACCTCTTATATGTCAAAAGCTCAAGGGAATTAATATTAATATATTATTTAATATATTAATATATTAAATACTGTATATTATAATTTAATATATTAAATAATATCTGTGCCACTTTCTATAAACAGGGTACAAACTGATGTCCCTTTACATTTTTTAAAGCAAAAAAGGTACGGGGAACCCCATGTTCTTGAGAGAAAACTGCTAGATAAACTACTTCATTACATGAAATATAGTGTACGAGTCATTTGGAGCACAATTATGTTGCTTTCATACTCATTATAAACTGTTGTTCTATGGAAAAGTGCAACATGAGGGAAAAGGTAGAAAAAATGTCTACTTTCAAAAAAGACATGAGGGTGTTGGAACATGAAGGTGAATAAATGATGATAGAATTTTCATTTTGGGTTTACTAAAATAAGTCAAAAGCATGGAAATTAGCTAGTTTAAAACTAGCCTTAAATAATGATTTTCACATGACTTTCTGTCAAAATGTCAAAATTTTATATCTATCCATCTATCCATCCATCTATCTATATAATCATTATTATTATTATTAATGATAGACAGAGGATACATTTGATACATAATATAACATTGAAAAGAAAAAAATAATTGCATTTCAATTGAACTTTTTTTTAAATAATTTTTTGTTCAAAATTTTTAGGAGTTTAAGTCCCATTTTGTACCCTAATTGTGGAATAACTTTCCAGTGCCACTGTCACCAAAAAGTTTTATTTTTAACTATATTTGAAAACAAACCAAGTCTATAGTTTGTCCTCATTGAACTGAATAAGCAGAGATGCCTATTTGAGTATTACCTGATCCAGTCGGGTCTGATGGCAGGGAAACGAGAAGGTGAATCCCAGAGGCAGCGATGCTCCCTTCATACCCATATACTCCAGGAAGTCAGCAAGGCAGTGCACTATGTGATCAAATAACTGCAGAGGACCATTCACACACACACACACACACACACACACAGACACACAGGTGAAGACAAAGGATCATTCATGCATGTGTACTTATCAAAATGAGCTCAACAGAATTATCACTGGAAACCAAAAGAGTACAAGAGAACAGGTTACGCTGCAACAAGTGTCTGGATGTTCAGTTCCACCCTACAATAAATACAACACTACACTCATAAAAATAAAGGCTCCAAAAGGGTGTTTTCGCAGTGATGCCATAGAAGAACCATTTTTGGTTCCCAAAAGAACCTTTCAGTGAACAGTTCCTAAAAGAACCATTTTAAAGAACATTTTAAAAACCTAAAGAACCTTTTTCGACTATAAAGAACCTTTTCTGCATTTGAAAGTTTCCATGGATGTTCAAGAACCATTGATGCCAATAAAGAACCTTTATTTTTAACAGTGTATGCATGCAGCTGGAAGCTGGATCGTACCGCTTGAGTGCTGTGCATTGACTACTTCCAAATAAATTGCAAACAGGTTTGTGCACTCCATGTTCAAAAACAAGGACAACTTTATTTAAGAGGTCACATAGTACCTCTAGTGCGCTTATCCTGCAATCCAAGACACACACTGCCATCATATATATATATATATATAATACATAACTGCTGAATTTTACCAAGAACAACGCACCTATAGCACTTTACATATCACGCATTTTATGTTTCTACACTGTTGTATTTTATGTTCTTATTTGTTTTGTTTGCTTAATTGTTATTGTAAGGCCAGAGCAACACTGTAGCACTTTGCCCAAGACAAATTTCCTTTCGGGGAAAAATAAAGTTGATCCTATCCTATATGAGGGCCACTTTCATTTCATTTTGGCAGCTCATTTGAACTCACTCACACTCTCATTCAGACACATACAGACACTCACACTCACTCTCTCATTCAGACACATAGACACTCACACTCACACTCTCTCATTCAGACACATACAGACACTCTCACTCTCTCATTCAGACACATACAGACACTCTCTCTCTCACACACACACACACACACACACACACACTCACTCTCACTCACACACTCTCTCATTCAGACACATACAGACACACTCACTCACACTCACACACACTCTCTCACT